TGCTCCCTCCTTGATACTGTTAATAGCCCTGTACATTAATCTTATCACGTTTATTCACAGTATGCCCAATACGTGCAATTAGGAGATAAACATACTGTGTTTTCAAAGAAGAGCTCGGTAACCTGTAGATTTAACCCCGCTAAATTGAATTTGGAACCGAACGCGCAGCCATTCTACCATGACTAAATAAAATGCGAACTCTTTGGTGTCAGCAAATATACTGAATGAAGTGGCATGGGTTGAGTTCAGTGTTTTGAGTGGGTTATTGATCTGAATTACGGAATCACCGAACAAAACATGGTGCTGTATATCCTCAAGCAGTTTGTTTACACCGTAATACTTCACTCGAACATATGACAGGCATTGAAAGCATATAAGCACGGCAACTTGGTAAGCTTACATGAGGTGGGCATCCCTAAAGAAAACAAAGCAGGCTTTGCAAGGCTTTAGCTCTACATGCACGTCACCATTATGACATCTTATCGCTCATTGTGACGGAGGGACATTTTTATATTCACATGATAAAGGGGTAAGAAGTGAGATCCGAAACATCGATACAAACAATAAAACAGTTGTTTTGAAAATACGTTTAATGTTTTTGACATTTAGCTATTTCATATTAATCATATTTGAACTGGAGACTCCGCACTCGTTATTTACCCTTGCTTCAGCAAACGTTCCTTTGATGTCAGAGAACCAGTAGCAGGAACGTCCATGAGAATGAAACCCTGGTACACACCTTGAACCTTCAACATTTAAACAAACATGTTGATATATGTAATTAGAATCAGGATAATAATTGAAGGTAATTATTGAAAAATAGGATAAAGACTGGATTAAAGACTAATTTGGAATTGGGTGTTGGCAAATAAAGAATCACCAGTGGATCCTGGCGATGTGGCACTGTAAATCCTCCAGCAGTTTAAAACAGGGATAAAGAAGTTCATGTAAATATTCCTTATTTACTCATGTCCGGTATCAAAGTACAATATACCGATATCCAGAAGGTACAGATTTATGCCTGGGCTATGAACATGTACTTTCAAATGATATGACACTCAGTTAACGTATGCCTCTTGCAAAGGAATTTCAGGGGGGTTCAGTCAACGTTCCTAATATGAAAACACTAAACCTTCACTTTCAACAATATATCATAGTACAGTAAACTATGGTTATAACGAACTCAAATGGACTACTCAGTTTTGTTCATTATAAGCATACATAAAACCATCTGTACAGCAAATGGCCGGGACAAAAAGTTAGGTTCATAATATCCATTAGTTCGTTATAAGCGTGTTCGTGATAAACGTATTTTACTGTACGGTAGCGAGCATCAGTCCATGTGAGGAGCGCTCCTGACATGCCAATGAGTCATGTTGAACGAGAGGGTTCAGAGGCAGGTTTACAAGTCAGTGGCAGTGGGCAATAATGCAGGCCTGACACCTTCTCCTCATTGAGGCAAAGAAACGCCCGATGAATGGTAGTCCATATCTGAGGAGGAATAAACCTGAGTTCCTGCAACATCATTTGAGGATGAGAATGACATCGGAACATCATTCCATTTCATCCCTGCATGTTTGAATGATGAGGTGATCTTGCATTGGTATTTCGCAACATTCAAATTCCCATCAATCACAACACTTTGACTGTACCGTGTACCCGTTGATTCACCTCAGATCATTAAGCCACCACCTTCAAACGATCGCTTTCAAGAACGCACGGCGTGCCATAACGTTCACCTGGAAGCCTGAAGACAGGTGTTCTCCCGTCGAATCGGTGAACAAGTAAACGTGACACATCAGTGACAAAGACCACATATCTGAATCACTGGAGACGTCGACCTTGATTAGTATGAGCCTTTTAGCTGGGCGTCTCTCACGGATGCCGTAGGTGTGTCAGTGTCTGCGGACCACCCTCGCAGATACGCCACTTATACACGAGCTGTGAGCCATGCTGTCTGTAACCTGTGTCGACGATATCTTGGCAAGGGGTTGTAACGGGTGGGCGGACACTACGAGGACCGTCTCTGACGTGGTTGTTAATACGGGGGCTACAGAAAATGTTCTAAGCCTGACTAACTTTCAACTATGGGCCATTACAAAGTGAACTAGTCAATGTAGTACATTTTGTAGTAGTTCATTTCAAGTTAATTTGGTCTGTTTAGTCCGTTTGTATATTAGTGACAGCCAGTAGATTGTGATAGGGGTCTAATGGATACAGAAAAGGAAAAGAGCGAGTACCGAGCAGTCATTAAGTTTATGACTTTAGAGAAATGTACTCCCCATGAAATTCATGGCACAAGAGTAAGTGCCCTAGTAATTCCACTGTTAAACTTTGTTGATCCATGTTCAAGGTTGTGAGAACAAGCCTTGATGATAACCCTAGGTCTGGACGTTCCTCAACTCCCACCAATGAAGATTCAATCAAGGAGATAGAAAAACCTATACTGTCAGATATTACCATTGCTGAACTTGAAGAAGACACAGGTCTAAGGAATGGATCCATTCATCACTGTTCATAAACATTTACAGGTGGATAAAATATCTGCTCGTTTATTATAATTATAATCTTAATGAAAAAAGAACTGACATTGCTAGAGAAAATTTCGAGCTAAATTGAGAAGGATTTTGTCAAATTCAAAAAGAGATTAGTAACGGGTGATGAAAAATGGGTCCACCACTATGATCCCGAGTCAAATAGTCAATCAATGGAATGACACCATTTCACTTTTCGGCACAAAACATCTTCAAGATCAGTACAGAAATTCATGGCCACTGTATTCTGGGTTTCAAAGAGTGTGATCCTTTGAAAGTCCAAAGACGATAACTAGTGCCTACTATGCTGATTTGCTTCATCGCATGAGAAATTCTATCAAAGAAAGGCGGCGAGGAATTCTGACTTCTGGAGTTCTACTACTTCATGACAACGCGTATTCTCACATCTCTCGACTTGCAAAGCTTGCAGTGCGACAATGTGGGTTCCAAGAGCCTCCTCACACTCCATACTCGTCCGACCTGGCACCAAGTGATTTCCGCTTGTTTCCTAAACTGAAAGATTACCTTTGTGGAAAGCGCAATGACGACAACGATGACCTTAAAGCTTCCGTGAACCGGTTTTGCAGGGTGGCTTCAGAAAACTTCTTCCTGACTGGAATCGAAAAGCTTCACTATCGATATGAGAGGTGTATTGAAAAGCAGCGAGGTTATGTTGAAAAATAAAATTAAAAACACTTTCCCAACTGTTGGTTTTGTTTGTTAGGCTTAGAACTTTTTGACCAGCCCTCGTCGCGTCACCATAAGTGTCATATGGCCTGGACGTTAAATTGGCGTGTGACGTCACACTGAAGCATACCAGAGGCTCGCTATCTGTCATTTTCACATCGCATAATGAAGTAGCATCAAAACGATCAAAAGTAGTATTTTTGGCAACTGTGAAAATTGCCTGCAGTGGCAACGATACGGGATTTGATACCTCCTATAGAGCTATAATTGAGTCCTAAATTGGATTAGGTCCGAGATAAAACGAAGCGCAACATCGCATGTCGTCAAATATTGTAGACGCTGTCTGCACGACTGTAGACGTGCTTGACGGTGGTTTCCTGTCAAAATGGGAAGTCTGGGTCTTCTGGCGACAATCCCTGCACATCTGAGGCGACGACGTACGGTTTGTGAAGATATTCGTCGAAGGCCAGGGATGCTTCTTGCAGTCACTGTTGCTGGCTGAAATCGATTTCTTAGGTGTGTAGTTCGAATCCAGTTGTCTTGTCGATTGTTGGTTACGCGTGGCCTGCCACTCCGAGGATGGTCTCTGACTGCATTCGTCTGTTGCCAACGTTGCCATAAACACCAAATGGTGTTTCTATGGACGTTAACTTGTCTTGCAACATCACGTTGACTCGATCCTGCTTCAAGCATACCAATGGCTCGCAGACGCTCATTTTTGGACAGGGGTGGCATTTCGTAATGTTGAATAATTGCGTAATTGTGTTGTTTTTCTGAGTGGTTGTTGTCAGCACGATGCTAAACAATGCATATGGAATCTCGTTAACGCACATGTTTTATACCCATTCTTGGGTAGTGAAATGCATGGGGATTGCATAAAAGTCAACCTTTGCATGGAATGCATGCTTTTCTGTAGCAGTTGCGTTTTTTTGTGACTTGATTTCATACATGTACTACAATATTGAAAACTAAACTTTACTTGTTTGAAAAATACACTAAAATATTGGTGTCACGGGAACTTTTGTTGTTGAGTATAGATATGTGAAGTATTGTCAATTTGAGGAAGGTCGCAATTCTGCTGTAATATAACCTTCACTTAATTAAAAGCATTTATTGGCGAGATATTGTATATTTTAATGTATGGACAATCATGTCAGGTGTAGATGGCACACACAACCTGGCATCAGATTCAAGAAAGTCTTTAGATGAAACACGTTTCCTTGAAATATATAGCATTCCGCCATGAGAGTCATAGGCACAAAACAGTTTAAACCAATACTTCAATGGTCCTTTATGTGACGCTAAATCAGCATAATATTGCTGTGAAATAGCTTCCTACTGCATTTTGTACACCATTTTCACTGGTGACTGTAACTTGAAAACGTTATGAGACAATTTCCCTTTCGATGCTGAAGCATTCCAAACGTGCGGTGTGAAAAACAAAATCTTTATCATAGATGATGGAAAACATGACGGACACACGGAAGCTTATTGAAGAATGCTAATAGTCCCATATGGTAACACATGCAACATTATGGGTCTACGGATTCCTACGTGCATTTTATTGAAGGCAATTTCCTGGAGTATAAACTAGTTTATTACTGTTTGCTTTCAAAGACATGTAATTGAGTGGTATAAACACATTTCTTTAAGGATAACAGTAAGCTAAAAAAAACACTGTTGTGTTTTCTTTCTGTTCGCACAGAGTATCAGGAAAACATTATTTACTATTTATGCCATTAGGACATGTTAAACGTTTTGGGGAAATGAGTGACTTACCCTCTGCGTACAGGAGCATGGAAGAGCCCAACAGTAGAAGCGCAACACCAGAGAACACATTCATTGTTGCAGTTGAGATGCTGGCGGTTAGCGTGTCATAGGATGCACTGGCGAGTAAACGGATGCATATATGATATAAAGCGTTTTCATGGTTTGGAGCAGCTGTGAAAAGATGCGCATTGATTATGATATCAGGACACAAGCAGCTGGGAACTAATGACGCGTATTTAGAGGGACATAGGGCTAAACAATATTATAAACAAAAAACAATATACCTTTCACGATTTCTACTTTTGTGAAACTGAATACATTTATATGTTTTGATATCCGAGTATTAATGAATTATTTGAATTAAGTCGTCAAGAAACAAATGTCATGTTTGTCGATTTAATTAATATTTACTAACGTAGGTTCATAAAATATGTGTCTCAAATACACTTACCGTATTCGACGTAATAAGCGCCCAGGGCGCTCTCAAAATTAGAAATAGGGGGCCATTATTTGAATATTATTTTGGTGGAAAAAAACAGAATTGAAAGATAAATTTCGTGGTTCATGCCGACAGCCTGAAATGTTTATATACTACAGATATATTTTTCCAGAATTTAATTGCCCATAATTAAGGGTGCATATCACAACACTTTGACTGTACCGTGTACCCGTTGATTCACCTCAGATCATTAAGCCACCACCTTCAAACGATCGCTTTCAAGAACGCACGGCGTGCCATAACGTTCACCTGGAAGCCTGAAGACAGGTGTTCTCCCGTCGAATCGGTGAACAAGTAAACGTGACACATCAGTGACAAAGACCACATATCTGAATCACTGGAGACGTCGACCTTGATTAGTATGAGCCTTTTAGCTGGGCGTCTCTCACGGATGCCGTAGGTGTGTCAGTGTCTGCGGACCACCCTCGCAGATACGCCACTTATACACGAGCTGTGAGCCATGCTGTCTGTAACCTGTGTCGACGATATCTTGGCAAGGGGTTGTAACGGGTGGGCGGACACTACGAGGACCGTCTCTGACGTGGTTGTTAATACGGGGGCTACAGAAAATGTTCTAAGCCTGACTAACTTTCAACTATGGGTCATTACAAAGTGAACTAGTCAATGTAGTACATTTTGTAGTAGTTCATTTCAAGTTAATTTGGTCTGTTTAGTCCGTTTGTATATTAGTGACAGCCAGTAGATTGTGATAGGGGTCTAATGGATACAGAAAAGGAAAAGAGCGAGTACCGAGCAGTCATTAAGTTTATGACTTTAGAGAAATGTACTCCCCATGAAATTCATGGCACAAGAGTAAGTGCCCTAGTAATTCCACTGTTAAACTTTGTTGATCCATGTTCAAGGTTGTGAGAACAAGCCTTGATGATAACCCTAGGTCTGGACGTTCCTCAACTCCCACCAATGAAGATTCAATCAAAATTAGAAATAGGGGGCCATTATTTGAATATTATTTTGGTGGAAAAAAACAGAATTGAAAGATAAATTTCGTGGTTCATGCCGACAGCCTGAAATGTTTATATACTACAGATATATTTTTCCAGAATTTAATTGCCCATAATTAAGGGTGCATATCACAACACTTTGACTGTACCGTGTACCCGTTGATTCATAATTAAGGGTGCATATAGCACACGAGTAAGTCTTGTGTACATTGATCAATCGGAAAGGGTGCTAATTGGGATTGTTTACTTGCCAATATAATAGCAAATATCGCCGTGGGCGCTTATTACGTCGAATACGGTACATACATGAATAAGTCATGTTGAACGAGGGGCTTCAGAGGAAAATTTACAAGTCAGTGGCTAGTGCGCAGTATATATTAATACAGACCTGAGACCTTCTCCACATTTTGGCGACGAAAGGCCCGATAAGTAGTAATCCATATCTGAGGAATATATATATAAATAATTTTACTCCCAAAAGGAACAAGATGGGTAAACGGAGAAGGGAATTCGAAAAAACAGCCATTGAGGAGCAATAATTAATTGGGATATATTGTAGTTTCTTTAACAAATTAACCTTGCAAATAATTTTGTAACAAATTAAACTATTGAGCTGTATGTATTTACTGAAAATGTACATGTATTGTTGCCCGACTCCCCATTGTTCTCGGTGCCTTAGGTCTGTTGGCTGACATTGGGAGAGTGTCAGGGGGAACGCCCCTGAGCTGCTGATGAGCCTAACGAGACTGACTGTGCCAGGATCACGCCAACCCTCATTTGCTGCATTTTTTATATTTTAATAATAATAATAATAACAATAATAATAATAATAATAATAATAATGATAATGATAATAATAATAATGTATTGACTTCCCCAAGTGATTACTTGTTTTACTCAAGTCATTAATGAATTGCTGGTCAACTCAACTTGATATGGGGCAGGTGGTGACTTTGGAACCCATTTCTATCAGCAGAGGAATATTTCAGGGCGATTCTTTTAGCCCTTTGCTTTTCTGTTTGTCACTAAAACCTTTAAGCTTTTTGCTCAGCAAAGATGACAGTTATCACCCGGGACCTCTAAGCACAGAACCCCAACAGCCCTTACTCACCTCCTTTACATGGATGACCTTGAACTTATAGCCAATGGAGGATCTACACTCAAAAAACAGATTCTGCTTGTCGAGTACTTTTCTAATGATATCGGCATGTCCTTTGGACTCGACAAATGAAACTTTCGTCATTTGAAACGTGGCAAGGTAGAAGAGGGAGGATCCGTCCGTTTACTTGGAGGTCAGGCCTATACGTACTTTGGGATGCAGATTAGGGACAAACTCCTGAATGCCCTTATTAAGGGCAAACTTCGGGCAGAGTACAAATGTTGACTAAAGAAAAATCTGGAGTTCGGAGCTGAACGCTCGCAATAAAGTCAAAGCCACAAATACTTACTCTGTGCCCGTCCTTTCGTATTCTTTTGGTGTTGTTGATTGGACGAAACAAGAAATTCAGGGTATTGACACACTCACACAAAGAATCATGGCAGACAATACATCCCACCATCCTCGATCTTCCCTCAATCGCTTATATTTACCAATCATGATGGGAGGGCGTGGTTTGATTAATGTGGAGTCTCTTCATGATAGAATTGTCTTGCGCACTTTTGCACACATTTATTCGTCTGATGATCCTCTTGTGAAGCATGTCAAGATTCATGATGAAAACAAGGCATTCCACAGTTTTCGAAAACGAGCAAAGGATGTGGTACATAATCTCAATGACTGTGTTGATTTTGTTGATGGTTCTGTACTGCTGGACGGTACAGAAATGAGTGTCAACCAAGCGAAGTGCCATATCAAGTCGGACCATTCAGATAGCCTTTCCATTTTCAAGGAAAGGCAATCTGAACGCTACTGCATCGAGTTTTAGTGCAGTGTGAGAAGATCAGCAATCCTGCAGAGTCCTTGGATGAAGTCGTCTGGCCTGAAAAGTGAAACAGAAGGCTTTCTGTTTGCTGCTCAGGATAGGCCACTTCCCACTCGAAACAGTCAATGTGTGATTTTGCATCAAAATGTAAATATGAAATGTAGATTATGTAATGAATTTAATGAGACTGTCCAACACATTGTGAGATGATGCCCAGCTTTGGCACAAACACAGTATCTTAAACGACATAATGAGGTGGCTTGATCATCGTGTTACCGTCTTCGCCATGCTTGTGGTTTTGACACAGAGATCCACCCATGGTACGACCCGGAATATTTAGAGGGCGTCATGGAAAATGATAAATAGAAAATTCTTTTGAATAGGCCCATTTACAGCCTTAGACGTATCCAGGCTAAAAAACCTGATCTTGTGCTTTTTTGATAAATCCAATGAAATCATTCATATCATTGAGTTTTCTGTCCCCTTTGACACTAATATGATTGACAAGATTGAGGAAAAACATGGCAAATATGCGGACCTCTCTTTCGAAATGTCACGCTTTGCACCCCAAGTACCAAGTTGTCCGACTCCCCATTGATCTCGGTGACTTAGGTTTGGTACCTGCCAATCTGTTGACTGACATTGGGAGAGTACCTGGGCTTGCTACGAGGAATACAGCCCTTTTGACAATCTGGGTTATGCAGAAGGCTGCAGTGTTGGTGAGTCTACACAAGTTCTTGGTGGGTTTGACTAGACAGAGCTTCCTGGGAGAAGTCCGATTCACTGTCTGGGCTGCGTGTAGAGGGGGCAAGGGCCCTGAGCTGATGATGAACCTAACCAGCCTGACTATGCCAGGATCACCCGACCCCTCTTTGCTGCATTTCTTATTTGAATCTGTAAATAATAATAATAATAATAAACGATTCTCCTTGTCGAGTCCTTGTCTAATGATATGGGCATGTCCTTTGGACTCGACAAATGCAACATTATTCGTCTGAAATGCGGTGAGATAGAAGAGGGACAAACTCCAGAATGCCCACGTCAAGGAAAAACTTCGGACAGATTACGTGATCATGGAATTTCCCACATCCATAGTTTTCGTGGTTATCAGTTTTGCTTAACTGTGATATTACTGCAATTAGAATATTTGAACATTTGCAGCATTCACTGTGTTTTCATTGGTCAAGAGACACATCTTCAAGACAAGCCATTAAATTCTCAACTATAGCTCAGGCTTGACGCGAATGATACCTTGTTGTTGAACAGACATGGTCGCAAAACAAAGGGGAGCTCAACTAATTTCTAGGTCTATATATTGCAACACAGTCAGCTACCAACTTAAATACACGTATTTTAATGAGCCATGGTGCAAGCTGTTGTTAAATAGCCTGGTGTTAGATATGATTGGTTGGTCAGCAACATTCCAGCTACAGCTGTTTGTAAATAATCGACTCTGGACCAGACAATCCAGTGATTAATATCATGAGCATCGATCCACGCAATTGGGATCGATGGCATGCATCAACCGAGTCAGCGACTCTTACCACACGATCTCGTATGTCGCCTCTTTGACAAGCATAGTCGTCTCTACGGCAAGCATGGGTTGCTGAAGACCTGTTCTATACCGGATCTTTGTTTGACATGAACATAGATTGATCAAGCATATGTCACCTATAGTTGTGCGTATAAAGATTTTTTGCATTTAATATTTCAGGTGACAGAAATGCTAGGATCATGAGTGGC